GAGGAAACAGTGATGATGTCATTTTGTTTTTCCGCCTTTGCTATTTGCTTAACGGAGGACAAAAGAGTTGCAGAGGCACCACATTCTATAAATACATCGGCTTCAATTTCTTTTAATATATTTTCAATAGCAGGTTGAAATTTGACTTGGTTCCTAATGTTCTTCCACCAGTACTCTGTCTTAAAGTCACCATCGTACTGTGTTCCAGTCAATGTCGAATAGAATGGAATTGATCGTGAACCGGCAGGAGTCATTACAGCACCTTCCATCGACTTTCGGAATCGTTTTTCCATCGGGTCCATGAGAGGTGTATGGAACGCACACTGAACACGGAGTTGTTTTGCTTTTATTTCACTATTATTTACAATCCTCATAATACTGTCTTCAGACCCGGCAAGGGTCAATGATCCGGGTGCGTTCTCCGCTGCAACATACAAGTTGTCATTATTTCTGCAAATATCTTTGGCTTCTTCCAATGTTAATCGGACAGCAACCATGCTACCGGCACCTTTCAGAAGTGATTGGTTCTTGCTTCGGTGATATATAACCTTAACCGCTTCTGCAAGTGTTAATCCACCACAAGCATACGATGCTGCTACTTCCCCAAGACTGTGTCCTACTACTACATCTGGTGACACTCCCCAATGTCGCCACAGTTCGTAGAGTGCGATTTGTAGGAATAAAATTGCTGGCTGACTAATTTCCATATCATTGATACTCTCATCGTCGAGGATGAACTCCGAGTTAGAACTTCCATTGAACAAGTTACATTTATGTACAAGTGAACTCCCACTCACTTGGCGGAATACCTCATCGCATTTCTCAATAGTGTCTCGGAACACAGGCTCCGTAGCGTACAGCTTCTTTCCCATGTTTGCCCATTGCTGCCCTTGTCCTGGGAATACAAAACAAATTTTGCTCGATGATCTGTAGGTGGTTCCGCTTGATAATCCTTCTCCACTGCCATCTTGAATAAAATGTTCTAATCTATTTCGAAACTCTGTATGAGAATTTGCTGTTATTGCAAGACGACATTCGTGATGCGCTCGTTTGGTAGCCTGCCAGCCGACAACCCTCAGTGCATCTTCGTTACTCTCAAAACTCTTCCAAAGTAATGCTGTATCTGTCAAAGCAGCTGAAGACTTGGCGGATAAAGGTATGATGATGGATTCACCTTCACCTAAATTGCTGTTGAAGCCCCAACCTGCCGGTTGCTGTATTGCCTTCTGCTTTTGTGGTGGTGGCGACTGCATGATGGCATGGGCTAAAGCTCCTGCAAAACCGAAGCTGTTTATACCAACAATGATATCTTTATCTTTAGGAAATGGTTGGAGAGAGGTTTGGACGTGAAGTTTCCATTCATCAAGATGTATATTAACATTTGGTGCTGTGTAGTTAATGGTTGGAACTAAATAGCCTTTGTAAAGCATAAGTGCCGCTTTGATGGAGGATACTGCACCAGCTGCGCATTCACTATGTCCAAAGTTGCTCTTAACAGATCCGATTTTAAGAGGCTTATTTCTATGAGGCCCAAATGCATTTCCTATAGCTTCTGCCTCGATTGGATCTCCTACTGGTGTACCGGTTCCATGGGCTTCGAGGTAATCGACATCAGCCATGTTGACCCCAAATCGTCTGTAGGTTTCTTCCATTGTATGCTGTTGTGCGGGCTTAGATGGCATTGTAAGGCTGTTACTGTGACCATTGGCTGCTATGTATGTACCGACGATTTGAGCATAAATATGATCGTTGTCTTTTATTGCTTGATCAAGGGGTTTCAGAATCATCGTTCCCCAACCTTCACCTCTGACGTAACCCTTCGCCGAATCAGAGAATGGACAGCATTTACCATCTGGTGACAGAACGCCAAGTGAGCTAAATCCTATTGTTGTTTCTGGGATAATCAAAGCATTGGCTCCAGCAAGTACTGCCATGTCACATTCTTGGTTCCACATTGCAGAACATGCTAAATGCATAGCTGTCATTGATGAAGCGCATGCTGTGTCTACTGCGTAGCTAGGACCTTTAAGATTAAATGCATAAGAAAGCCTGTTAGCTGCGACACTATGTGCTGAGCCAGTAAGGGTATATGCGTTAATAGTAGATATACTTGATCCCATTATACCATAATCCATTAAACCAATACCAACAAAAACTCCGCAAGATGACTCTAACTCCTGTGGTACAATCCCAGCATCTTCAAAAGCTTCATGTGTAACCTCTAGTAACATTCTCTGTTGGGGGTCCATCGATGAAGCCTCCTTCGGTGAGATCTTGAAAAATGTATTGTCGAACTGGTCAATACCATCTATGAAACCGCTTCTCCTAGATACCATCTTGCCTTGTTTGGTTTGATCATAATCATGAAATGAGTCCAGGGACCAACGCTCAGCTGGTACCTCACCGAGGCAGTCTTTACCGTCCCGGAGAACCGTCCAAAAATCATCAGTCGACGTCACACCACCTGGCAGTCTGCAACCTAGAATACATTATGCAAGAAAATGTGAATATATATAAGTTACAAGAACACTTACGTTGAAATGGAGAATACAGTGAGGTCAAGGTTGTGTCGAATGGGAAATATCATGTTATTAACCATAAATACTTTGTGCACATTCGAAGTATGTATAATACTGTTGAATGAATTTCTACATTAGTACTGGTAAGAGTGAGAATAGTGCAGATATTTCACTTTGTTAAAAATTTTTTTTATTAAGGCCTACCTATGCCAATAATAGCGATTGGGGGATATTCGCGCCCGGCCATCACTGGGTTTGCAGGTTCGTGAATATGTTGAATCTGAAAAAAAAAATAATGATCAATAAATCATTTTGACATTGGTGCATTAGATAGGTTCCATTAATTCAAGTAATTCAATATCAAGCACTTCAACAACAGGACACAGTTCACGTTTGCTGTGCATGCATACAATCCGAGTTGCTACCTTTGCATGGTCCAAGGCTACTCAGCTCGAATTACTTAAATCGGATTGGCCTAGGTCACTTCAAGACCAAGAATGCTGGTTTTTTAATTTTTATCAGTTAAGTTGGTACAGTTACAGCTCTTGATGATAAGCGGTTTAAACATAGACTTGGAAGTATTTCAGCAGTATCAAGGGGTAAGATTTTTGTTTTAATTATTGATTCAGTTATGTGGTTTACTATACCAGTGTATCTCCCTGGTATAACCGTCATAACCTAGTATGTAGTGTAGTTTGTAAGAACAAGGATGTATTTAGTAGGACATAAAGAAAAGAGGCCTATGCCCTCTAGTACTACAGCAGAACTAGCTGAGCATACAGCCTGCTATCCTACGCCGTAGGGAGGTCCTTTTGTTGACCAAGCCAAAAAATGGTCCGACGAATTGCCATCTGTAGGTATTGATTTATTCGTTTCATCTGTTTCTAACGTTATTTGCGTAATAATTTCGGATATAAATTATTTCTTTATTCACTAGGCCTACTTTTATTATACTAATCATTTCTAACTAAGCTAAGCCTTAGCCTTTAGGCTAATTAAATTTACATCAAATTTTATTCGGCAAAATAATGGCAAACATTATTATAAATGTTTTACATCCATCATAACATATTTTTTTTCTTTCAATAATTTCAGAAATATTTAATAGTTTAACATTCCCAAAAAAAAAAAAAATTAATTTTTTTTTTTTTTATTTCAATTCATTTGGATTTCAAATGCATTTAACATACTTATGCGTACCGATAGGTTAAAATAGTTTGGCGTTCCTGGTGTGAAATGAATAGTTGTTTTCGGATGTTGCCAATCTAAAATAAACAGTTTACCAAAAAATGTTTTACCAGAAGTAAACATGCACCTCTTTAATTCCACAGTGCTAAATTTATTTTGAATATCCATGAAACTTTGACATTTAAATTGAAAAATTACCAAAAGTTACGTACAATAATAATTATAAATAATGATGTAACTCTCACGGACCAAATACTGTGGAATGGCACCTGAAATTTAAAAAAATACCCGCTGGGGTAGCCAGCCTAATATAACTAATATAACAGTGTAGGCTTACAGTTAACTTTTAAAATTTCCCTTTTTGAATTTGAAGACGGTATGGTAATATCAAAAACAAACTTTGGATGTAGTCAATTTGAATCTTAACTAGATTTGAACTCGTCACTGAGGACGAGTTAGGTGATCCGCCGCACTTTGACCCACGAGGAAGTGTGCGCGTGGCGGATTGAACAATAATTAAATGCTGATAATGTCAAAATACGCTAATTCAGTTTGTTAAAAAAGAATTTTGAGCATTTGAAAAGATTTACTCATGTGTACGCGCACGCCATGACGCACGTGCGCACCTTAATGTCACTGTTGTCTTTTGATATGAGATATATATGTAT